TGTGGGACCGACCCCTCACTGTAGGGGTCGGTAAGACCTCTGCATAGAGGATTTCCCTTATTCCATAGTATTACATAGATTTCCCCACAATTATAGATTAGTCCACAGGGTAGTTAATAGTACAAATAGTAATAGGGTAAATTCGTCCACGAGTCTTTAATCCTTCTTAAGTGTTGCAATCATGTTTTCAAACTTTCATTTGTAACAGTCATGTCCCCAATCTTTTAATATTGCCCGCATGACATCCCCATTGATTAGAAATGTCAATTTTGATGGAAAATGTGGCAAAAAAAGTTGAGAACATCTATTGCAATTAAATTGTGGTACAACAAATAAAACTTGTGGCGTGAACGTAATTACCCTTCCAAAAAATGACAGCTCAAATCACATTAAATGTTGTTTTTTATATATAATTTTAGGGTAATGCTATTCGTAGTCGCTCACTGCGATAGTCATCCTACGTGGCATACACATGGCAGGTAATTATTTGATACATTAATGTGGTAACTTTTTTATTCATTAATGCATCAAATAACTACCTGATACGTGTATGTCACGTAGGGCGACTGCCACAATGAGCGACTGCAAAAAATATTATTCATAATTTTATCCTTTCAGACAGCCCAATATATCATGCGCGTTAAATAACCATTTTACATCCAAATAGAAGTTTTTCATCATATGGGAATCCCATACATACAATATTAAAAATGTTGGGAACATGATAGCCACACTAAAAAATTGAGGACCGTCAAAGGAATTTATTCCAAGTATTTAGAGGGATATTTTTGAATTACATTAAGAAAATTTAATTTTAATAAATAGAATTTGAGTGTTGAAGGAAAGGGTAGATATTAAGAAAATGTGAGAATATTGTTTCATCAACAATTTAGTATAGTTGAATAATTGAATGAAAGAGAATTCTTACCTAAAAACAACTGTTTTCAAACCGTGCTGATGCATCTATGGAATTTACAAAATAGACACTTCACCAAAATAAAAGATAAATAGTTTATTAATGTGATATCATTGTCATAGAAAATTTAATAAACTAACGCCACGACAAAGGTGCTCATTTTAGTCCTTGCAATAACAGTGAAGCTAAATTCCTAAAATACCGCGTTTAAAATTATTAGTTTATTCAAAAAATATGTTTATAATGTGTTTTGGCATATCCGTCTTTCCATATTCTAAACGATGAATACAACATATGAATTTATATATACAACATTGGATAGATCAGTTAGCAATCAATACTGTCATAGAAATAGAGGAATCAATTGATGAATATTACAAAATGTATAGCCTCATTCTAATACAAACTTTTAATACACACACAATCATTTTATGAGCAAACTTAAGTTCTTATTTTTTATTCTAGAAATTTTTAGTAACTCCAAACACAGCCCAAATTCTGTAGGCTAACTGAAGTTGAAGGTCCTTCTCGATCATCAGTTGACTGCCTTCCTATTTCATGATTTGATACAACGGAAGAAATTTCAGTGTTGATATCAGTGCTCGTGCCAGTTTCTTGTGATACACTGACCATTTCTTTCTGATTTTTGGAGTTCTGAATCATATTTTGGCCATAATTTCCAAGTAAACTCCTCAGAATTGAGGGATCTTGCCGTGGAATTGAACCTGGAAATTGAAATCCTCCATGAGTTGAACCAAATTGTCCCCAAGAAAAGGTAGAATTAGTGGTAAATGTATCCATTGGATTAGCAGAGAAAGGGTCGTTGAAACAAGGAATCGCTTCTTCTTCATTCTTTTGAGAAACGACCAGAATTGGATTGGAGAAGCAGTGCACGTGGCTTGATTCGGATACAAATGGCGAAGAGTCGTCCATTAAAGGTGGCAGAGTTGTAGGAGCCAACTCATTAAATGGATCCCTTTTCAAACTGGAGCACTTGTGAAATACCCTGCAGATCACCCAATCATTCTGCAACAAAATCCAAGTCAATTCATGTATATCAAATCTTGAAATTAACATAGAATGAATTTATATAAGCCTTACCTTAGGTGGTTTTGGGAGGTTGTGGTTGTGGATAGAGAACTTTCCTTCTACTCTGTACTCATGAGCAACCCAATTAGATTTTTCGCCTTTCGGGGCTCTTCCCCTGTAGAAAACCAAGGTTTTCTTCATTCCGACAAGGATTTTTCCTCTGAATATTTCTTTGTCTTTACCAGTGGCTTTCCAGTAACCTGCAGCAGTAGCCCTGTTTGTTCTAAGACCAGTGGGATACTTTTTGTCTCTTACACAGAAAAAATACCATTCCTTTTCCCCTATTTTTGCTCTCCCTAAACGAAAAAAGCAAAATTAATACCAAAAAGAAAAGAAGAAACCCATAAAAGAAAAGGAAAAAAAAAAAGGAGTTCAATAAACAACTTACGTGGCAAATCCCACGGCTCAATCTTGTTCATATCCACCTCCGTTATGGCTATAGCAGAGAAATTGTTATCAAGAATTTTCTTTGATAAATAATGAGTAATCAATTCTTCATCTGTTGGGTGAAATCTAAATCCAGGAGGTAATTCCATTTGATCCTCCCCTTTCACAACTCCGAGATTGTTCTCCATTGTCAAAACCTGAACACTTCTTGCAAACACCTCTTCTGTTTGAAAACGGTAGTCAATGGACAACAGGTGAATTATAAATAATTTACTAAGATATGGATGACTTTTTAATGGATTCTTGCCAATCAGTTCCAACTTTCCGAAATCAATCTCAAGTAATCAAAATTCAAAGTGGATATAACTGAATTAAAAGAAAATTCATGCACAAGATGGAAAGAAATGGCAAAACTTAATGGAGAAAGAAAGAGAGACGGAAGCCATTAAACTGACCTTAAAAGTTGAGAGAAGTTATGACAAAAGGATAACATATGCTCAACACTAGTCCATAAATACTTGATGTTTTTGGGGTGGAAGAAACGTGTTTTCTAAGCAATCTATTTAAGTTGTTTGAAAATAAATCCATCCTCCGTTAAACTTGACCAAATGCATCTCATTTTAGCTCCACTCCTTAGATTTAGTCGAGTGAAAAATCCGTATCTGAATTTAAAATTTCGTTCATTGTATTTTAAAATACAATTTAATACTGGGTATTAAATACGAAATCACTATCAATTATGTTAAAAATATTGAATTTTTTGGCATTTCAGCTAAAAATGTGTAAGCTTACTATCATACTAATGCAAATGAGTAATGACATTTAGTTTCACTGGAATTACAACTCCAATTTAGGTGGTGCTAGATAATATGTTAAATGAAATGTGAAATTAAATGAGTAATCTCAATCAGCATGACGCTAATATGACATTAAACGTTATTTTTCATTTAATATATCATCTAGCGTCACTTAGTCTATGATTGTAAGTCCAATAAGGCTACATAATATTACTCAATACAAATACAAATAGATAAAATGGGGGCAATTATGTTCAAGTTTATATTAATTTAGCCCTCGTTTGGCCCCCAATAAATTAAATTTTATTTTTTTATCTCGTATTTCAACCCACAATCTTTTATAAAATAATATTACACGTAAATTGAAAACTTTTCATTCTTTTTCAACCACTCATTCTTCAAAAAAATGTTATTCCACCCATTAAAATTTGAAATAATGGGACCAAACGAGGACTTAGTTTACTCGAGTTGACGATTGAATTATTCATATAAAGAATTGAGTGGGATTAAGTTGATTGGGTTGATACAATCAAGATAAGAACAAAGTCCTTACGCAAAAAGACAATATTAAAAATGGATAATTTATGAAAGACTAATCAAGGAAAAGAATGAGATTCTTCAAATCTGTAGTTATAGAATTTTATTTTATTTTATTTTTGGTTCAAATAAGTGATTCCTACATTGAACAAAAAGTTCGAATCGCGAGTAACTTTATGACTTATTCTTCTGTTACAAAAATAGTTGAAGATTCCAAATTTCAATAATTCTTTTCAACTATAGACAAAATTATCCGGACCAACACGCATTAATTAATGTTGTTCAAGAAATACATACTCGATTTTGTTAAGGACTCTTTGAATATATTTTCATGTGCTCTTTTTGGCATATTTAAGTGTATTTCCCAAATTACCCTCCTTTCCCAGAAGCACATAGTATTTGAAAACAGCTGTCTGCAAGGATAAAAAGTAGTATAGATTACAAAAGGCCCTACATCAGCTACCAGAAAGTAGTTTATCTCCCATTTATACAAAGTTGAAATGACAAATTTAACCTCACTTCTTTTAATTTGCAACAAAATGAACTATTATAGATGGTACAGAATGACACTTTAGTTATTATGCCCTAATTTGCCATGAAATAGACAGTGACCCTTTCACGAGTGGGGACACTTCATTTTTTTCTCTAAATTGACCCAAAAAGAAGAAGGAATTAATATATTAGGTATTGAGGATTATGCCAGCAGGATAAATTCGATTGGTGAATGGCAATTGTCCAAATCATATTTGTTGAAAGAGCAATTAGACAAGATTAGTTTGATATTAAAAATAGTTCTAGAAGTAATATGCAGAGCATTTTGCATATTATCACATTATAAGTAATACGGGTTAATAAAGTTTACTTAGCATATTGCTATATTATCGTACCTTTACAATAACTGTTCATGTTACGCCTTTATAATTATTGTCAAAATCGTTCCTGATCATTGTCTTGGCGTAATTAAATCCTTGTTAGATTAATTACGGTTACTAAATACTAGATCAATCACTACTTATTGTGGAACCCATGTCTAGATCGAGTTTGAGAATGAGCAAGGAGCGAGCCGGTGATCTCATGGCTAGATTTGACTATTTTGCTTGACTTTCCTGCTCAATAATAAGGTGACTGACTTTGATAACATAAGAGTGATCTACGTCGTACTTTGTAAATATATGTGAGTATCTTTGTGAAAAATCAAGTGAGTACAACAATTTTAGCAAAATATCTGAGGTTAAATAAGGAAAATAGCAGCTCTAGCTTCTTTATGATTTCGTGTGGCTATGCACAAACAAAACTAAAAAATAGGACCGTCTCAGTGAAAGGAGGACTTGTAACGGCAATCCCAACTTCCTTTTTGTCTATTTCGCATAGCTGAGTTCTCGTTTAATTTCTTTTCTCCGATAATCGGACATATTTCTTCAATTAATAAGTTAATTAATCCATCTTGAAAATGAGAGCACCCCTACAATCTACATATTGCAACCTAGATAGGGTTTGAAAAAATCAACCTAAATAATTAGAATAATTATGCACTGGATTGGACACGTGTTAGCTTTGGTTTCGGCCAGGATCTTCTCCCATCTAAAATATTCAAAAAAATAAAATAAAATAAAATAAATTGAATAATTCCAATTGATAATTTTGGTTAATTAATTCAAGGGTTGACAATAAATTTTAGATTAAGCTGAAATGGCCATGTGGGCCCTATTTCAATAGTTCAAACATGTAACATTAGAAACTATCTTGTTACATAAATAGGCCCAGTGAACAAATTTTTTAAATAGAAAAACACTCGACGGATTTTCACTGAAAGTTTAAAAAAAAACAAAACAAAACAAAACATTGCCAATTGGGGGTTAACATTTCAGGCCCTAGAGCATGCTCCTGTCACTGAGCCTATTCGTTTGGCTTAATCCCATTAAAAATTAAATGTACACATGGCACAATATGATTGGTTTAGAACCACGCGAACTGCGATGAAGATTAGGCAATGTTCATCTTGTTAGTAATATTCAATTGTAATAAATATTTGTAAGTATTTGTCAAAACTATTACAATAATGACTGGTTCCATTTAGCATCACAAGACTTGCAATTTTCTATTGTGGGACCAAATAATTCAACATTCTATCTAAATTATCGAAGCATTTAGCACAAAAATGGGACACACAGAAAAGGATAAGGACAACTTACTAAGGGATGTTTGTTTGGAAGGGGCACATGTTTGCAATTGTATCGGATGTCTCATGAGATAAGTTGCTACAATTAATTAACCATTTTGAGCCATTCACCCTTTATCGTTTAAAATGAACTTAATAATTTTACGACTTTAATGTATAAAAATTTTATTCAAACCAAATATCTTACTAACGTGTACATGTCAAATATTCTAGCGTTCATGCTGTCTATGAAAAGAATCGACCAACCAAGCATCATTTGATGCTAAAATACATTTTCCGTTCTCCTTTCACATAAACGTAGACCTAAAACAAAAAGCACTTCAATAATCATATGAACTTCTAACATCTAATCAAGCATCAATATTTTTGGATTACTCAAGTGTAATTTTATGCAAATTTATTGTGCATTGGACAATTGTACTAAATGACTCCAAATGTATAGTCTCAAGGAGCATGCAAGAGAGCCAGAAAAGATTTGCCAGAAGCCCTTACCTACACTTAGAGCTCGGGTGGGGGCCACTTCTTCTTCCCAATTGTTTATTCAAGCGGGGCCCGGTGGTTGTGAGAGGGTGTGGAGCCTTCTGTCGACCTCTTTCTGGCAGAAGAGCATTTCCCATAGTCTCAACTCTCAAGGCAATCCAACTGCAAATTCTATATACAACATCAATCCTGGTACTATTGCCAGACTAAGGTTTGAGCTGAACAGATTTTGAGGTACCTGAATCGCAGAGTTAATTATGATGAATAAATTATAATCTTTTTAGTGGATTTACATATTTGTGTTGATTAGGAGATAGGAGAAAAAGCTTCAATTGTATGATCACATATGCGCACATGATAAGATTGTCAATTTCAATCATGATACTTCATATCTCGATCTAGAAAATGTAATGTCTCGATGATCGAGGTGCTAATAGAGAGAAACAAAGTGATTGTGTGATGTCTATTTGTCACATTTTGAATGGTTTGAGGTTCGAATTGTTGCGTTTTGAATGGAAAGTTCCACCAAATGTACATGAAAGATTGTTCCTATTGAATTTTCTTATGGAGATAGGACATTGATATATTTTCATGACATGATGTGTAATGTTTAACAAATTATTTAATGATCAACATGATATGGAGGCATAGTCCTTGTTTGGTTCCCATTATTTTCAAAATATATTTTTTTCATAGCTTATTTTTAACTACATATTCTTAAATAAAATAATATTACACACAAATTCAATTTTTTTCCTTATTATTTAACCACATATTCTCCATCTAATCACTATTTCAAAATTATATATATATATATATATATA